TGAAGACGAAAAATAATAATGGTATTGTAATCATGATTTAATTGGATTCTACTAATTATATAATATAAAAATTTTGCATATGAAATATTTTTTATTTTGCAAAGACATGTGTGATCTTATTGAGAAATAAGGTATTAAACCAACAAATAAATCTTAGAAAGATTAAAAGAAGAAAATTAGGAAGACTATTGGTTTTATTAGACAATAGATAAATCAACTTGTTTATCATCTTGTATAAGGTGAGAATCTATCTTACAACTTATGAAAGAAATTAAGCTAGTTGATTGAGGATTGTTTATCGAAATATCACCTAAACAACTTGATCACTTGAGTAAGAATGATCTTGTTATTACAAGAGATATGCTGTCTATTAAGAGTAATTAATAAAAGAAAAAAAAAACATGTTTTTATGAACTACTAGTGTATTGTGAAATTTAAAATAATATAAGCTTTTGTATTATGTTTTTAAGAGGTTGATAGAGAGTTAAAAACTCTAAATGTCTATAATGAAAATAGAAAAGAACTAAAAGAGGATAAAAAAGAATAAAGGAACAGCTAATGTATTTTTGTGTAAATATGGGATAAAAAAACTTAGAGAAGAGATTTTATATTATATCTCATATATTTGATTTTCTCTTAAATTTAGCTAAATATCTATTAAAATTTTCCTATAATGTTATCTACCTTGTTAGTCAAGATATTTTTGGTTGATTATTGGAAGTTACAAAAAAATTTATGATAAGCTCATTGATTGTTGTTATTGAAATTTTTTTTAGTAGATTAAATATGTGAGTTTTTCTTTTATATCAAAGTTTTTTCCGTATTTGCTATGATCTCATATATACATATCTTTATTTTACATATTATTTATGTAGAAAAAAAATTAATTTGAGTTTTATTTCCGATAGTTATTTTTGTTATAAGAATGCAAATTATGCTGCTACAAAATAACATGCATGGGCAGGTTGACTTTGGCAAAAGTATTTTAGCATTATTACAACACGTAATACATTTCATTGACGTCAATCACAACAAAAATAAAGACAGCTTTCTTATCAGGTGAGGGTATTATATGAATAAAATAATATATAAAATCATTATTCAATAAATTCAGAAAATTAAACTTTTCATTTGAAGTAGTTTTACCGAGAACCTTTCTTTCATTCTTTTTAAACTCTAATTATTGAACTATAGTTTCTTCATTTTTAATTTTACACTGTCAAACAGGGGCAGGTTTTATTTATCATATCTTTTCTATTGTTTAACAAAGCTGTCGGTATATATTCCCATCATCACTACCAAAACCTTCAATACATTAATACATTAATGCAAATGTAGTGTGCAACTTGATAATTTAATTACAATACTAGTGTTGACTTTTGTAATAATTATTTTTAAAATATATGATTAATATTCAATATTTATCTGATGTGTATTCAATTCATACACCACTTGAAGTTATAGAGTTGATGTAATAGACAATTTGAATCTCGTATAATTGTTTCAATGGTCAAGGTTAACGGTTAACCCAAATGTTTATTTTCACTTTATCACTCATTTAAATTTGAAAGTTAGAAAAAAAAACAATTTTAGTAAGAAATGTGTATTACCTATTTCGTTATTTTAAAATTATATTTATAGATTTTGATATAAATTTTATATTAATGAATTACCTTTTTCTTTTAAATTTGTATTTATAAATTTTGAAATAATCTTTAATATCTTAATTATAGTCCATTTAGTAATAATTATATTATAAATTAATCAGTATTATATCTAATTATTTTAAAGAGATACTTTTCGATTTATATGTTATTATAATTTAATTTTAAGATAATAACGGTAATAATTATGATGGTATGTTTGGTTGTTTAAACAGTCTAATGTAATATTGACTAAACGATCATATCGTATATAAATTATTATGTTATTAAATTTTTCATGGATAGATTATTAAAAAAGATGTGAATATATAATTGGATGTACACACATAAAAATAAAGTATTAGGGTTGAAAAGTTTTCTTTGACTTAGCGTATTTAGGTGCATATTTTAAATTGTTTAGAGAAGAATAAGTAGGGTTAGGGATTTGAGATGAGAAAGCAAGTTGCAATTGGAAAATGAGGGTTACTTTCTATGTCTACGCGCAATTCAAAACCAGTTTTACAATAATTATGTGAATTGTGTTACAATATTCAATAGAGCTGCACGTTAATCAACAAATTTTATGATTGATTTACCAAAATTGCACGCAAGTGTCTTATTTTACAATATAATATATTATTCTTTTCATACTTAATGCAGGTTGACGTAGGGGCTTTTAAGACTTTCGACAAAAGTTACGTTAATTCCGTGTAGTAATGAATGTATAACATTGTTTTAAAAAATATTTGAATTTTGAACTTTTTTTTGTCAATTATTATTTCATGAATGCAAAATATATTGTTTTCGTTGAAATTAATATTTAATAAGAAACGTATCTGTCACATTTTGTAAGGTCCTTCTTTTAATTATATTTTTAAATTTATAATATTCAAGTGTCAGGTCTTACTCGACAATAATTTAAATAAAATATACATTTATTGTTTAGTTATCGATATAGAACATCAATGTTCTTTAAACTTTTTTTTTATAACATTTTAAGGAACAATTGTACTAAAAATCAATCTGCAACATATCTTTTTAAATTCATTAATTTTCCATTAATCTAAAGTTTTGATGTTAAGTTTTAGAATTCCTAACGTGTACATCAAAGACCACAACATTGAAAATGTCTCGAGGGCATTAACGTCTTTTCAAATCCTTTCTCTTCATTCACTTCAAAAGTTTTTCTTCCTTTTTTCTTTTATGTCTTTGTTTCTTGAATTGATGTTCATTTATTTAGGACTAGGATTTTAATTCAGACTAAGTCGAGTTTGAATTAACACAATTACTATCACTATCTTAAATTTTTAAGATTAAAAAAATTAAAAATTTCAAATAGTTATATTTATAATATGCTTTTAAGACAATTGATAAAATCCAAATAATTAAACTTCTAATATTGATGGTCCGTATCTCAAATATTTAATGCAAAAAAAACTCGAATGAAAATAAACGTCCTGATATAAAATGAGAAGTAGAATTTTAAATTTTAAAATTTGAAATTACTATCATAATAAAAATTTTAATAATATAGTTGTGCGATAATTCATTGATTTGAACGCAAATAAAGTTTAAAATTGTGAAATTAGATATACAATTCCATAAAACTAAAAAAGAAAAAACTTAATAGTTTAACATTTAACTTAATTTAGTATTAATTAAAGATTATTATGAATACAAATAATTAAATATAACATAAAACATTTCTTTCTTACTAAGAACCTAAAAAATCATCTAAATTTTTTTTCTTTCTTCTTTAAACCAACATGAGGTTAACATATCTCTTCGAAAAAATATTAAATTTGGAAATATAACGAGTACATTAAAGCCTATAGTCATGGCCCGATTCATACCGAGATAAAATAATCATAGGCCCATTTTATAACAACATAAGCCCACACTTTCTGTTTGTAATGGAAAGTGTTATTCCCAGTCCCCATATTTTCAACAAAAATTACCCTTGTTTCCTTTGTGGGTGAGATTACACAATACATAAAGAATGTTTCATATTGCATTATTTTTACAAAAAATTAAGATAAACAAAAATACAAATTTCCATTTTATTATTTTTTTAATCAACATCGCAGCATGTATGTTTTGATTTGTTGAGCAGTTTTTATATTGATATCTTATATTTTAAAAATATTTTCCTTTTTATTTATTTTATAACTATAGAGGTCGTATAAAAATAAAGGTCTAATATTGAATATCTATAAACAATGCATTTATATATTAATATATATAACGGTAAAACGGTGTTTTTTTTTTCTTCGGAAAAACAACATAGGGATTACCAAGTTTTAAACTTAATATATTAATTTAATTATATCATCATCATTATAATAGACTTCTCTTTTATATTTCTTGTTTTAAATAATTACCATAACTTAGCATGCCAAACTCCAAAACCGATATTCATATATGGATTAGCATAGCCTAGGCATGCTGAGGAATAAGGAATGGCAGCAAGTTGTTGTTTAATAGTATTCTGATTTTGAGGTGCATAAACAGATACACATTAATTGAGTGGCCATTATTGATCCCTAAATTGTTCATCTTTTTCTCCGTTGATGGCGGGAATTTATGCTGCAGGTTAAGTTTGTATCATTAAGTTGTCATGCAACTGGTTTTTAATGTATGATTAGGGACACTCCTGTTGGAGGCAAACATCATTGCACCACTGCTAAGGTTATCATTTGCTTTTACTTTAATGATTTACCCAGTTTCGGTTTTCGATTGATGGCCCCGTTTACCTTTATACTTCTCTCCCCTTCTTCTTCGTGCTCCTTAACTCATTCAAAATCTTTCTAGTTAACTTTCAAAAAGCAAACTGCAGCTGTCTCCAACTCTAACAATTATACAGCATGGATGATCCTAGACTTGAGGAGAAACTGAACTTCTTCCACGGGGATAAATAGTTCAAAAAATTTTAACCTGCTTCGTTGGTTTCCTTTGAAAGAGTAATTGATGCTAAAATATATATACATGCACGACTAATAATGAGAGGCATTCATTAGGTCCAAATCAAACTGCATTGGTTGCAGTTTTAGATAATGAACTCGGATATATCTGTATCAGAGAATGATTTATTCTCTCAGATTCACTTTTCTGAAATTTGATAATAGTTCTAGACAACAGTAAGACATAAAAGTCAAATGAAACGGGCGTGGATATACAGACATTGGGATCATAGAATCCCCTGATCATTGTGTGGAACAACGGATCAGGCTAATTGATAACCTGGTGGCGTGCTGTGTGGGGAACCACAAGTAGAAACATAAAGGGAATTGTGCTGAATTTTGTTTGGAGCCTCTGCATGCCTTGCTTCCCTTCTATTTTCGACAGCTATAAAAGTGGAAGCCACAAAGACCATGACAACAAATCACAACATGGCAACATATAGCAATCTGAAGAATGCTACTATAGCATTCTTGGTCCCTCTGCCCTCCATCCTAGTTTATCTCTCCTTCCATTCTGCCATCAGTGGCTTTCCACACTCTCCATCTTCTCTGTCAACTCTTTGGACATGGTGTTATCACCATCCTTTACTATTTGCCAATGTCCTTTTCTTCTTCAATGTCAATCTGCTCTTCTGGCTCATCGGCCTAATCCAATCCAGCCACTGGGTACACTTTCCACTTCACTTCCCTCTTTTCTTCTCTTCACTTATGCAGTTTCGTTTCTGGTTTGATTTTGAGCTTGACACACACCTTTTGCTGTCGGTACAGATGATCGACCCGTACTGGACGGTGATACCTGTGATGCTAGTTCATTACTATTCGACTCATCCTTTGGCTCAGTATAACTGGTTGAGGTCGAGGACGGTGATTCTGTTGACTTGGGTGTGGAGTATCAGGCTGATCCACAACTACTTCAGGCGAGAAAAATGGCAGTGGGGTGCCAGGGAGGATTGGCGTTTCACTGATTTGAGCCATCAGTATGGAAAGCATTGGTGGTGGGCTTCCTTCTTCGCCATCTACGTGCCTCAGCAGGTCACTCACCATTTCTAGCTTTCTGTGCTTTTACATTAAAGAAGCACGAACCCTGTTTATATAATATCTATCTGCACCTTCCATTTAAATTTAAGTGTATCGATTTCACCTTTGCAGGTGTTTCTGATTGGACTATCATTTCCATTCTATGTCATCCACTCGGTCAACGAGCCTCTTAGCATGTGGGACTTTGTAGCCATAGTTTTGTGTGTATCTGGTGTTGTCATAGCATACATTGCCGATACTCAGCTTTACAACTTTGTGAGTGGAAACAAGGAGCTAAAAGAAGCAGGTAAGACAGAGGTTTCGATTCTCGAGAAAGGGTTGTGGTATTACTGTCGGCATCCAAACTACTTTGGAGAGCAGTTGTGGTGGTGGGGAGTGTTTGTGTTTGCATGGAAGCTGGGACATGGATGGACCTTCATAGGAGCTTTGGCCAATAGCATGTGTCTGGGTTATGTGACAAAGCTTGTGGAGGAGCGAATGTTGAAACAAGAGAGCAGAGAAGAGGCCTATAGGCTTTATCAGAAGACAACTTCCACATGGGTGCCTTGGTTCAAGTTCTCTCCTTTGGAACTAAAATCTAAGGATCTTTGATTGTGTTTCATTTTCATCATCACATCAGTTCTAGTTCTAGCTGTAGTACTGATTCTACCACCAACTTCATCATCTTAATTTTCCCTACTTTCTTCATTATGTAACGGAGCCAAGCCATGAGTTGGATCATGTCATGTGTGTGTGTGTGATCTGCACTTCCATCATTTTTTGTACCATATTTATCACCGTTACTAGCTCAGAAGAATCTCTGAAATGGCTTCTGCATATACTCTCTTATCATTTTCGTGATAATGAAGTTTAAAATTAGTAATGCAGACAAGTTTTTAGAAAAATATTCATAGGTTGATCAATACTTATTGTGAAAGAGAATAAATTTAATAAGTTTATAACATCTATAATGTGATGAAAGGAGAGATAAAGAAAAAGAAAAAACAAATGTGTAATACATGTATATGAAATGTGTGTGTTATTAATCATAATTTTAAGTTTAAGCCTTTTGATTTAATCCTTCCTACAAAATCAAGTGAGATTTGATCTTAGTTATAGAGTATAATTTAATCTTATCTTTATCAAATGTAAAATATCTATCACTCTCACAACGCACATCTACATGTTGTGCCTAGGGTTAAATATTTGTGAACGATAAAGAATGGTATATTAGGTCTAACAAAATTTGTCAAAATAAATTCTAATATCATGAAAGTGAATTCAAATTTAATTTATCTTTACAATAAACTAACTTAAGAAGTTTGTTGTCATTTGTATATTATATTAATCTTATAAAAAGAAGCTAAATAGTAATATAATATGTTTTTATAAAATTTACCGGCAATCTATCGTAGAGATGAATTTATTGTTACAAAAATAGTTTATTTGGGAATAAATTATTTCCTACATATAATATGGTCTTAATAATGCGTTTGAAAATTACTTGAGTTAACTAACTTACAGCTTGTTTGCAAAATTAATTACTTTATAAAATAGTTGTTAAGTAAATGAGTTTATATAGATTATTTTTCCACATCATTAGAGCACGATTCTTCTCGTTCTCTTCCTTTGATGCAAACATAAAACAAAAGGATTTTTGCTGCCTTTGTTGACAGTGTATGTTGTCGTGTTGCTTGTCTTTGTTGGTAATAACACTGTGAAATTGTCTTGATTATAAGCAACAGTTAAAAAGCATTTGATTAGTATAGCCATGAAATGATGATTGGTGATGGTTGGAGTGGGCATGGCACTAAGAGGAAAATGGGTTTTGTTTCCACTCTATTGCTTTTGCCTCATTTCGATATGTTTCTCGGCGGCCACGGAAGGAAAGCCGCCACAACAGCAGAAGTTGCGGTTCGGGGAAAACGGACAGTTCAAGATCTTGCAGATTGCTGACTTGCACTATGCTAATGGGAAGACCACCCATTGCTTGGATGTGTTGCGTTCTCAGTATGCTTCTTGCTCTGACCTCAACACCACCGCCTTCATCCAAAGGATCATCCTTGCTGAGAAACCCAACCTAATTGTCTTCACTGGTTTCTATTCCTCCCAATTCCTATTTTTACTTTTCATTTCTTTTGCCTCTTCATTCGTTTTTATCTTTTTCTTTCTATTTGAGTGCACAAAGATGATTCTTTTGGAAACATCATCCCTCCCCCCAATTATTTTATTATTGTGGTCACAAGGATAAATTTTCATACATGTTGTTTGGAATTGAATGAGTTTGGCTATATAAGTTTGGAATTTGCAACTTTTACTTTATTGAGCATATTGGCTATATAAGATTTTGTGTATTCATTTTTGCTGTGACAGGGGATAATATATTTGGACATGATGCCTCAGATCCGACCAAATCAATGGACGAGGCATTTGCTCCTGCAATCGCTTCAAACATTCCTTGGGTAGCTGTTTTGGGCAACCATGACCAGGAAGGATCCCTTTCTAGGAAAGGGGTGATGAAATATATTGCTGGGATGAAAAACACTTTATCTATTGTCAATCCTCCGGGTGTACACATAATTAATGGTTATGGGAACTATAATTTAGAGGTTGGAGGAGTTAAGGGTACTGATTTTGAAAATAAATCAGTGCTCAATCTCTACTTTCTCGACAGTGGAGATTACTCCAAGGTTCCTTTCATTCCTGGCTACGGCTGGATCAAACCCTCTCAGCAACTTTGGTTCCGACGGACATCCAAAAAACTTAGGGTATTATTTACCTGTTTCATTGACTAACTATATTTTGGCTCCTGTACACTTTCTCCAAAGATCCGCTAAACTGTTCATCCTGTTTCTCTTTCTATTTTTTATTGGGGGTTATGGATGAAAGTTAGAGACTATTCATTAGACGCAGAGCTGATTTTCATTTCTTTCCCTTGATATATCTTTGGATTAACTATTTGCTCTTTGTTCTGCAGAAAGCATACATGAATGGACCAGTGCCTCAGAAAGAACCTGCACCTGGTCTTGCGTACTTTCACATTCCATTACCTGAATATGCTAACTTTGATTCATCAAACTTCACAGGCGTGAAACAAGAAGGCATAAGTTCTGCGTCTGTGAATTCTGGTTTCTTCACAACATTGGTTGAATCAGGAGATGTGAAGGCAGTTTTCACTGGCCATGATCATGTCAATGACTTCTGTGGCAAGTTAACAGGTATAAATCTTTGTTATGCTGGAGGATTTGGATATCATGCTTATGGCAAAGCTGGATGGTCTAGAAGAGCAAGAGTGGTGGTAGTTAGCTTGGAGAAAACAGAGAATGGCCGATGGGAAGATGTCAAATCAGTTAAAACGTGGAAACGCCTTGATGATCAAAATCTAACTGGTATTGATGGTCAGGTCTTATGGAGCAAGAGTTTTAGAAGTAAGATGAAATCTATCTTTAGAATTACATATTACAGAGGACAACTGGAGGCATAAAATGAACTTCTGTTCATGCTTCGTTCTTGGCATATATGTGTTGATATAAATATATGAAGAAAACACATAACTTTTGCGTCCTTTTTATGATCAAAGTAGCTTTCTAATTACTATTAGCTGATTTCCCTTGACAGTATCTAACCTAAACTACTTCTAAGTTCAGTTACTCATTGGGGTAGATTGTGTTGGCTTTTGAATTACAAATGGGCAGTTTATTCCCCTGAAATCAAAGTGGATTAAAGAGAGTCAATAATTAGCTGCTAATGTTCAATGTTCATTGGTGTGAACACACTCTCATTCACCGCCTATCCTTCCTGCTCCTTGTTTTATGAGCATATACATAACCTGGAAGTTCAGATTGTGTGAAGGGTTAGTCTATTCACTGTGTCACTGGCATGAATAAATATTGGACTTCGGATTCTCAATCTGTTAGTTTATTAACTTTGCCTGACTAATTAACAATGTTTAGAATGAGAAGCTTTTCTTCTTACTTGTTGCTGATAAAGGCACCTTGTTGGTCACTTTTTGACAGACATTCATGCACACTATTGTAAGACTTGGAACATAAACCAAACTATAATTCATGGAAAATGATTTTGATTAAATAGATCATCTATGTTGCATTCTAATTAAGTTTGTGTTGACTTTGTGAACATCTGCCCTTTGTTTGTTTGCGTAGAAATAGAGTGGAGGAAAAGATAAGGAAGGGAGATAGGGTAAAAATACCAAATAAGAGAGGAAAGAAGTTTGGAGGAAAGAAATGGAAAATTTAGAAATAAAAGGACATAGAATGGAAAAATGTTTTGTTTGAACAGTTAGAAAAAAAAAAAAAAAAGAGGAATAAAATGAAGATTTTTTTCCTCCATTTCTCTGGATGATTAGGAAAGAGAATGGAAAGAAGGACACAAATTGCATAAAATAGTATTTCTATACTAGTTATAAAAACTCAATTAGTTTATTCCTGTTTTTTCTTAACATAAAAATATACATTTTTTTTTGTAATTAAAACAAAAAGAAAGTGTAAAAGAGAAATAATTTCTCTCCCATTTTATGTAAATTTGGGGATAATTCTTAGTAGTTCCAACTGGAATAATTTCCCTCCCTATTTTCCTCTCAAATAAACAATGACAATTTGATGATTCCTATATAATCTTCTTCTTTTCTACTTACCTATAGTAACAAATAGAGCGTAAAGAGTTTAAACAACTTTAAGCAAGTGATTAAATGGTTGATATTTTCTTTTTGTTTGAGGTGCTGACTATGATTTATGTGTAACTTATTGCTTTCCATTTCAAGTCATCTCCCTTGATCGTTTGTTCTTGTGCATCTAACAGGCAACCGCAGGAAAAAACAAGATGGCAACTCTTGAGAATTTATGGTGTTGCAGAAAAATGTTAGTATCATGAAGGTGATTTGGAATGTCTCAGTCTGTTTTATACATCTTATTGTTTTACACGTCCTATAATCAATATACAGGAATACGAGGTAGCTTGGTCAAAAATAATATGTAAAAGGAATGGAAGTTCACTGATGCGGTGCAATGATTGCATTCTATGCGATTGCAACTGTATGTTCAAAACCTAGAATCATGGTGTCCATGTCTCTAATTTTTTCTTACGTATGGCCTCAACATGAAAGGCTTCTTTAAGATGATGCAGAATGAATTGAGAGTAGATTTCTACTTGTGTTGTGTGGATATTTACTCTACCTGATAATGATAATAATACGTTTGCTATTAATTCACAAAGTTATGGTACAATGACAGTTAATGTATGCAATTATGCGTTTATTGCTAAGCTTGACACTGGTTGAATCAGAAGATGAATACTTTTGTTGATAATATAGATTAGGATATCAGTCGTCTCTAATAGAGATAAGATTTTCACTAGGCAATTTTGGCAAGACACAACTTTGACTATGAGTATTGTATTGCATAACATCCTCAAACAGAAGAGCAGTCAAAAGCATTGACTAGATGCTTGGAAATGTGCTTGAAATGCTTCACTTTTGGGCAAAGTTGCTGCTGTAGGCGGCGTGTTGGTGCAGCACCTCGAACCATGCTGGCATTGGCATTACTCCTTCAAGATAGTCCATGATAGAGAACCATATGAGAACACAAAATATGTTCCAGATGGCGAGGATCCTTTTCTGTTCAGGAATTACAAGTTGAAAGATACTTTTACATAGGCTGAAACTTAGCCTTCACAAAGCTCAACAAAAGATGGAAAAATATGCTGACAATAAGAGATGTCATGTGTAATTTAAAGTAGAGATCAAGTGCTAGTGAAACTGCAACCATACAAACAGCACTCAGTTGCTTTAAGAAAGAATCAAAGACTGACTACGAGTTATGTTGGACTCGTTCCGGATACGACAGGTTGCTACTAGTTACTGCTGCCATCAGTAGCTAGAATTCATCCAGTTTTCCACTCCTATCTTTTGAAACCTTATAGCGAAGATCATCTTTTTCCCTATATTCCCTTGCATATTGTTCTGACTGACCCTATGCTACCTGATAATGATAATACGTTTGCTAATAGATTCACAAAGTTACAGTACAGTGACAATTGCTGTATGCAATTATGCGTTTATATTATGATGATCAATAACGGTGCAAAGTTGCTGCAACTTGAACTATTGAACTACAGTTGTGAAGTAGTGAACAGAACAAAAGGCTTCAAGTGCATAATGAAATAGCTAGAAAGATTAATTTTTCAAGCATATCCTTTATATTTTAAATAGAAAATTAATATTGTTCAGAAAAAAAAAAAATCATGATATTTCATTAAAAGAAACTTGGTTATGTTCTTAAATATCTTGTATAGATTGAAGGAACTAATGCTGTGACATACTGCAAGCAAATCCCACACTCATCTTCTTAGCCTACTATGATCTGTCTCTAGTTTGAGTGAAATACTGGCAAATAATATATGGAATGACGAGTTTAAATTATATTGGAGTGATGAAAAAAAGTAAAAAAAAAAAAGATCTGAAGTATTGAAAATGTTAGTTTATTAAAAATAAGACTGCTACATTTCTACATTGACATACGAAAATACGACTTTCTTATGGTAATTAAGTATAAATTTACTGAACTTTTGTATAATAATTAACAATGAGTATATTGTTTTATAGTAATTAAATTGTAATAAAGCATATTTTTTACAACTATTTAAAAACACTTTTAAAAATTTTGGTTCTGAATAAAGTATTCCTATAACTTGAATGTGCGAATGTGGTTCGGAGTGTAGAGTAGTTTTAGGTGAGAAATTGGAGGAATTGTTAGAGAGATAATTTATATCCAACTAAGAAATATAGGTCCCACAAAATGTGTGTGATTGGTGTGCAGGGAAAATAGCATATCAGAATCTGCATCTCCTATGATTTGTGATGACATGTGGCAACAAATAGATTTTATGTAAGGCAGAAGGCCGTGTGAGCCACCAGATTTTGATTTTTTTTAAGGTAAACCTATCCCATTAGATTTCACATGCCACATGGCAACCCACAAATTCATTACCCATTCACACTCCTATCCTTTCGGATAAGATTCTTCATACATCAACAAATTTCCATTTCTTTGCCATTAATCATCAAACATATACACAGAAGCAAAGATAGTCACTCACTGAACAAAAAATTTATATTTTGAATCAAGGGTTAATGGCTTCTGCTTGTGCCTCCTCTGCCATTGCTGCTGTTTCCATCTCCACGCCAAGGCAAGTTTCTCCACTCTCCCATATTTGCAAATATATTTATTTATGTCATTTCATTCTGTGCATAAGATGTTGCACATATTCATCAATGAATTAATGCATTGAATATGGAAATCCAAGCATTGTATGAATGAATTAATGCGTGATGCATAGACGTGATTGATCAAAAGTAGTGAACTTGTACAGTTCCCAGAAGAATGGATCAGTGTTGGGAACCCCCAAAGCTTCTTTTCTTGGTGGAAGGAAATTGAGGGTGAACAAATACACAGCAGCAGTTGGAGTACGATCCACCACTACAGTGTGTGCTGTAGCAGACCCTGACAGGCCCCTATGGTTTCCCGGCAGCACCCCTCCTCCATGGCTTGACGGCAGTCTCCCTGGAGACTTTGGCTTTGACCCTCTTGGTCTTGGTAAGTCAGTGCTTAATCTTCAATTAAGAACACAATCTTAACAATATATGCTTCCTTACAGAATATGTTATGAGCATGTTTTTGTTGAAATTTCATTTATGAAAGCAAATGAGAAAAGAAAGTGGATTTTGATTGATAGGATCTGATCCGGAGAGTCTGAGATGGAATGTTCAGGCAGAGCTAGTGCACTGCAGATGGGCAATGTTGGGTGCTGCTGGGATTTTCATTCCAGAATTCCTGACAAAGATTGGTGTTTTAAACACACCCTCATGGTACACAGCTGGAGAACTTGAATACTTCACAGACACCACTACCCTCTTCATTGTTGAGCTCTTTTTCATTGGGTGGGCTGAGGGTAGAAGGTGGGCTGACATAATCAAGCCAGGGTGTGTGAACACTGACCCCATCTTTCCCAACAACAAGCTCACAGGAACTGATGTTGGTTACCCAGGTGGGCTTTGGTTTGACCCTCTTGGATGGGGAAGTGGTTCTCCCGAGAAGATCAAGGAGTTGAGAACTAAGGAGATCAAGAATGGGAGATTGGCCATGTTGGCTGTGATGGGTGCATGGTTCCAGCACATATACACCGGCACTGGTCCTATTGACAACCTCTTTGCCCACCTTGCAGATCCTGGCCATGCTACCATTTTTGCTGTAAGTTTATTCATCCACTGTGCCTTCAATTTTTGCCCATTTCTTTATGCTCTGACCTTATCTTTCTTTCACCACCACTGCAGGCTTTCACCCCTAAGTGAAAAGGGCTGAAGATCAACCATGCATCCTGGGAGAACATGTTTCATAGAGAGATCAAATGTCTTAGGAGAGAGGAATGTTTATGTCTCTAGAAAGCTTGTAATATGCAACTTCTACATATATGCACAGAATCATAATCCAACTTGCCGACACCTATTTAAGTTTTAGATCACATGAATGCGTTTAGATAATATTCTCATTTGTGCGTATGATGATAATCCACGTCCAGCATTTCATCATTCACGACAAAAATCTCAGAAAAATGGTCAAATTTCATTCTTTAAACTTTTCTCTTTAGTTCATCAAACAATTATAAATTATTTAAAAAACAAGAAAAAAAATATATAGTTCCTTCTTCGATTCTTTAATATTTTCACATTCACAAAAGTATCTCATTTATACTTACTTGTAAATTTAATCCATATCACAATCAAGGAATAATAACAGCTATAAAATTATAAGGAGAACACTGTTCAATTTCATGAGAAAAAAAATCAAAAGAACCTTTACCTCTAATTATTCACACAAACTATGACCAACTCATTTCTACGAATACATATATAGAGAAAGTCTGAATTAAACATTTTAGGGAATGCAAAGGAAAGGAAGTTATGGAAAGATTAGCAGACTTTATCTTTTTTCAACAACAGAAAAAGGTAGTAAAAGTTGAGAAGCTGGAAGAGAAACATGAAGAAAATGAATTCCTATGAGTTGTCAGAAAATGGTGTAGAGAACGGAACATGACTGATGACAAATCAGTAGAATAGTGAGTCAAGTTGGCTGATAAAAAGCTCCTCACTCGTGAAAATAAAGTTTACAAGGCTATGCTTTGAACACTTTCATGCTTCCAATGGTGTCATTCACACGGTGAAGCATTTCTAGACACAGTTTCAACTAAATTCAACTTCTTTCATACTACATTCTGTTCTTGCAAGGAAAAGGGAAGAAAAATATCTCTGAACAAGGTGACAGTATTGGAACAGATTCATATCCAGTTCTTGTTATGGAGGGGAACTCTGTCCATGGCTTAATTTCTTTCCTTTTATCTTTTACTTTATAATTACAAAAAATTAATTTTTGAATGACCATATTAAATTATCAAAATATATTTTTCTTATTTTTGTAATAAGTCCTTTTGCATTTGTTAGTTTGAGAAATGTCCCATGCTAACATTTATATCTACAAGTGTTACAAAGATGCTGGAGTCAGATATTATTTATGCAGGATCCAAAAATCATATGGGCCAAACGCAAATAGAACAGTGACTCTTTTTTTTTTTCTCAAAGAACATGTGTCCATGAAATAAACTTTTGTCAAACTGCGAAGTAAGTCTCGTTACCTCTTTTATTTCTCTGTGTCAATTTAATATTTTATTTTATTTCATATGCATTGCATTATCATTATTATATAGATTTATTATTATAATTATAATTATTATTACATTTTAAAATAACAATAACAAGATGAGTTTATCAAGAAAAATAGTTAATATATAAAATTTTGAAACATGTGGGTGGTAACTGCTTAATTAATAGTATTATTTTTTTCAAAAATATTAGTTAGTCTTTTTTTTGTTGTTCTGAAATATTTACTGCATGAAATTTTTGAGCTATTTGTTAATAAATGCAAAAGGACTTATTTGAGCTATTCGTAGATATAAATATTAGCAAAAATATCAAGTTAAACTATACATCATGCAAAAAATAATAATAATTGTTCTGAAATATTATTTTCTTCCATGTATAGTTTAACTCGAGGTATTTGAGCTATGATTATTCTGTACTCATGAACTTAATCATAAAGCAAACTATTACTATTATTAGACTTAAATATGTTTAGTTTAAGTGTTTCCATTTCTTCTAGATTCTTGACATCTGTTTAGCGTTAATTTATAATGTATGGTGGTTGGTTTAAGTATAAAAAACATTACATTGTAAAGAGTAATTGAGTACATAAAATATTAAAGTTTGTATAATTCAATCTTTTGGCGATTTGATTGAAATGGTGCTGTTCTGTTTCATTCAAGACACTGTTTGATGATGAGCATCGAACAGAAAGTAAACTCTGTAAGAGTGACAGGAAACACATGCGAATGTTTAAGGAGAATTATTTAGTTACAGTGTTGTGTGTGAGAATTAAGCAGCAGCAGTGTAAGCGTTAAAACAGTAAAATGTAGTGATGGAAAGTTGATAGAGAGATAGATAGATAGATATATAAATATAGAGAGAGAGAGTGATGGAAAAATGAGGACAAGTGAAGTCACGTGGAGAGTTGAAAGGAGAGTTGAGGACAGGTATGGTACCACAAAGAGAAGCTCGGTACAGATTACTACATTCTGTTGTTCCTTTCAAATTTGGTGCAATAAAACAAAAAGAGAGAGAAGAGAGGGAGATAGAAAGACATGTGGATGGTGTTGGAGATAGGTAATTCTTCTTCATGTAACTTCAAACTGGTTTCGGTTTCGCATTTGGGAGGGCTGCACTTTGTAACTTCAAAAGGGTTACCTCTCTTTTATTATGTCAGTGGTCACTTCCTATTACAGATGGTCCTCACCCTCATTTAATCTCCATGCATCCTGAGATGGTCCATGATCATGCATCCTCTTCTTTCTTCTAAATTTATCATCTTTATCATATCTATTTTACCGTAATATCGTTCGA